ACAATCTAATAATCTTTATTCTAATCATCCAAATGTCTGCATGATTTTATTTAAAGCGTGAGAAATAAAAAACACTTTCAGTTATAAATAGCTACTTTTTACAAACGCCATCTTTTATCGAGTAGCAGAACTATGAAGAGCTTTTCTAATCCGTTAAGCGCGAGTGACGACGGATTTGAAGATCATACTTTTTGGAGATTAAAGAATTTTCTTGGAAACCATATTAAAATAAATATTAATCAGTACCTTTTTTCACCAAAAAATACGTTTAACAGACATCTGGAAATACGAATCGAATAAATTATTGTAATTTGGATTAACAATTAAAGTATTTCTTAACACTTCATAATAATGCTAACTAAATATGTATTTGTTAACCACAAACAAACACAAATATCCAAACCACTCACAATAAGATGTCTTCTCAACCGGCCTGTATCCGAATACACCAAAAAATGCCGCGAAAAAAACGCGCGTAATTCGAATTTCGTATCTGATCGAATGGTCGACCGTCGCGTACCGCTATAACTTTTTAAACTATTTTTTTAATTACACTGGAGGCAAAGGTATACAAATTTAATTCACTGGAAGCGACACGTCCTCGGTAGCTGTCGAAAGAGTATTGAGTTCACAGTTGGCGAACGCTGTCCGGTTAAGAGATGGTCCTTGTCGTGTGTGTGCGTCGATTATATTTATTACATCAGCTTGCGACTATAAACAAGCTTGGACGACAGACACTTCAAAGAGATCGATCGGTATTCGGAAGATCGATAGACGGGAACAGCACCTGCACCACCGTATCGCCGGCCACGTCAATAACTTTTAGGTATAATGTCAAAATTTGTTGTAAAGACAGAAAAGTAAACATCAAAAGCCCTTTTTTATTTTCACACTTAACTTTCCTGTATTTTTCGCGATAAGTTTTTTGAAAAGAATTTAAGGCAATTTTATTTTACCAATGCCATACACTTTCAATTTAAAATTCCCAACCACTAGATAGAAATTTTAGTGATAAGTATGATGTAGCAACATTTGCAATAATTTGTTCGTTGCAAAATATAGGCTACCACTTCAGATGCCTCCATTACGATACATTGGAAACTTTATGTAACGCGTACTGTAATTTAGTTTGATGGGTTCGAGTGAATTAATTTAGGTTATCGAAAAGGTTTTAATACGCATGCTTAAAATAAACGTATCCATAGCAGATAAAGAAAAGAAGCTCACCTTATGACACTCTTTTAAATGTCGAACGTATCACAGACAAATGACTCAAACTTTTTATCGCTCCAAAAAGTTCGGGCGTGAAAAAAGGTGCTAGCCCGAAGCGAGTGTAACAACTGACTAAAGTGGTAAGGTGTAAACCAATGTTCGGCTGTAACTAGTTAACAGTTTATTTTTGTTCTGTAACCACATACCAAACATATTTCATTCCGTTGGTTTATTGACCGATTGAGAAGCTTTGGTTGCGCGAATTAGTCTGGGCTTAATAAGGTGTAAACAAGAATCGCTAATGTTTGTAGGGAGCGCGTGTGGGATAAAATGGCGGCTTGGCTAAATTGGTGCTGTTATTATTATTTAGCAATAATATTATTTGTTTAAGATCTGTCAAAATATTTCAGACAAACGGAGCAGTTATGATGCATGGCTCCCGAAATATATTTGGCGCAAGAGTAACTGTGGTATTAATTTGCTTTTCGTCACAGGTTTTGTAAAGCGTGTCCCTGACTATTTGTAATTGCCAATGTTGATGGAGTCCTTTTAGAAATATAAGACAGTGCATCCTGTGGCATATAAACGCTTCAGGATATGAATAAATCTCATAACGAATACCTACATCTATTTTTCGTGTTCAAAGGATCCATAATGACGGTCAGAATGTGGACTTAGCAAACATTTTGGAATAACATGCCTGACTATGTTCAACTAATATCTAGAACTAGCTTCTGTCGCGTGGTTTCACTCGCTGCTTGGCTCCTACAAATCGTAGTGTGGTGTTTTATAACCTAAAGCCTTTCTCGATAAATGTCCTAACAAACACAAAACTAATTATTTAATTCGAACCAGTAGTTCTGGGGATCAGCGAGTTCAAACAAGCAAAGACACTTTCCAGCATTATAATATTAGTCTAGATTACTTACCCACTTTAATCATGGTGCTTCCTTAAAAAAAAGTATAATCTTATTTCTAAACGTTCATACATAAAAAAAAAAATCGTCAATTTTACTGACAAACTGGATAGAACGACAGAAAATACAAAGTGTCGCGAAGAATTTCTCTCTACGATGCGCTTACATGAATGAATGTGAACAGTTGGTCTCATCAATAATATTGTCATTAGTAGTTCACAACAGAGTGTGGCACAGATATGCATTATAATGCAACTGGTTAATAATAAACTGCATTGCATCCTACACACGTTTTATTTCAAGAGGAAACATTAAGATTATGTCGAATTTTGAATTTATTGTTCTGTAAGGAGAAATGCTGGAGTTGTTCTTGTGTTGGCTTTGCGATTAAGATTTGTAATTTAATAATTAGAAGTTGAATTACTATTTCATGGGTCGTTGGTGAAAGATTAATGGCTAAGATACCCGATTTATTTTTGTAAGTTGGACATTTTCTTTATATGATTGATCGGCAAACGATCATACGGTAAGCCGTATGCTCGTTCAGTTCAGGCCCGTGGCATCAACGGAGGAGTAACGATTGCGTTGCTAACTTTTTGGAGATTTTGGGATTGGGTTGGAGGAGAGGAATTAAATCAAATTCTTTATTTTAAGTAGACCACAACAGGCACTTTTGAACGTCAAGCAAAAAAGAAAAAAAATATATAAGCCTCCGTTAACCTCAGTCACACGGCGAAACACAACGGCGAACAACAAAGTTTTCTGTGAGGCCGTGGCCTCACAGAAAACTCGCCGTCATTCCGGTCGAGCCAAACCATTCGTGCCGAAGCTTGGCTCTCCCAAACTTGTCCAACTATTGAGGAAAGCGTTAGGCTACAAGACATTGTGGTACGACCAAAAGAAGTGAAGTAGGCGATTTGCGCGGGAATCGGTAGTCACAGATAATAAAACATAAATGAACACATAGAGTATCTTATATTATTGCAAAGCATATTACTGCTTAGTCTGGGAATATTTCATTGGATGCGGTAAAGTTGCTTTTATTATTTTGTTGACAATAACAGGAGCATCAGTGCATTGCATATCAACAAAGAGGTACCTAATAATCTGAAGTTAATATAAAGACATTTCCAGTTACAAAAGGTCATATATTTTTGCATTGTTGGTAATTTTAGATTTATACACCACGGGTTTAAGGACATCTACACAATCATTAATATTATGAGTTTGAATTGTCTGTCTAAAAAGCCCTACAGAGGCAGAAAGGTCTACTCTTAGTACCTATGCAGGACATAATATGTTTTGTATACATATATTTTATATTTTCATCAATTTTTAGCTATTACTCGTTGTCCCATAAACTTTAAACGATTACTGAAGAATTTAAACCTCCCAAATAATAGAATTGAAGTGTGGGAGGGCCATACTATTAGACCGGCTATACCGGAGTTTCACGAAAACCGTATCAGTGAAGTGACCAGAAGTCCAGTCCTTCCCTCGTCCCCGTGTTATTCCCGGAACCCTTCAAGTCAAAACAGTCAATCGCTGTATTTCTCCGCATTCTGGAATTCCTTAAAAGCTCCAACAGGCTGGCAACGCACTTGTTGATCTCTTTTGGCGTTGCGGATGACCTTAATCGATTTGTCGCCGACTGTTTACCATCGGATGATCAGTCTGCTTGATTACCGATTTTTCCTTTCAAAAATACCCACTCAATCCCAGAAACAGTGGGGAAAATAGATAGAATAAAACTAAAATTCGAGCCCAAGATCTCAAACTAAAAAATCCCGCCATAATAAACCGCTAGTTGCGTAACGCGTTCAAATGTCAAACTGTCAGATAGCGAGGTGTACAGGAATAGACCACGTGACTTGTTTTATTGTAACCTCTTTGGAATACGACGTACGACGCCTCACTCACGCCACTAATCGTTACTGCTACTAAGTATTAATACTGCTGGTATTAATAATATTTAGAACGAGCCTTGTCATTTACTTTCGAGATGGGGATATACCTAGTATAGAATTTAAAGCCATGGATATTAAGAAATCAGTATAACGCATTTTCGGAAGTCAAGAATAACTTAGTTGGTCGTTGTAGATGTTTAAGAATGCTACATATTTATTATTAGTTTTTTTATTTCTTGTATATCTGCCTTTAATAATCATCTTGGTTGGGAACTTTGGTAAAAAGTAGTTGGTAAAAAAAACATGTAGACTAGGTCACTTAATGTTCATTAGTAGTCAATGGTACTTTATTCGATCTTTAAGTAAAAAATCAAATATAAGAGTTTACTGGTAACATATTAGCAATATCGAAACTAATGATGTTTTTGGAAAGACCCCAAATTGCTTTGTAACGAATGAATTAATTTATTTCATGATCAGACATTTGTTTACGTTACATTTGAATAATTGTGTGTCAAAAGCCAATAGCCATTCTGATTGTAAACAACTTTATCACGATATTTTGAAAATAAAGAATCAATCAATCTAAGGAGAACTTCATTTCCTATTCATTTCAGGTTTTATTACAGCGACATCTAGATGTCACTTTTAGAACGAACACAAAGTAGCAAACAATCTTTTTATTTAAACTTAACAAAATGGTTTGAATGTGTAATTAGATTTTTGACAAACATGTCATTTAATTATTTTACTTAAGTGATCGCACGAGTACAACGTGTACAACAACGTGTACGAGAGACATTTAGATCATTGTCATAAACTACTCCAGAAAATCTGCCTTCAATCTATAGCCTGGACATATTTTTCTCATATCTTGTTTTTTTGGTCGATATTAAAAATAATTTTATGTAGGTTTACTTTTAAAATAGATATTAAATCAAATTAAACTATGTCTAGCACTTACCTCGTCACAAGCATGACACCGCGGTTTCAGTCGCTCTGCATAATGGCGAACGCAATACAATCGTCCGTCTAACGCACAATACGCTAGTTCGACAAGTAATTCTTCACATTCCGCACATGAGAAGCATGTTGGATGAAAATATGCCTAAAACAAAAATTTATTATGCTTTAATTGCTTTTAGTCCGTTGTAGCGACATCTGTTGTCGAATAGCTGAACAAAAATACACCTCTTACTGAGTGTTGCTTTTCTGAGTATAGATGGCGCTACAATAATAGTATATTACTCACTTCTTCACCTATCCGCGGTGCCTGAACGGTGATACTCCCACTTCGAATAGGTTTATTGCATCCAGCACAATCAACAGATGCACCGTGATATTGACTAGCAACGCCTGAAACAAATTTTCCTACATAAAGCAAATATTTATTGATCCAGCTACGAGCCACTAGATGGCGCTAATCTACGATTGAATTTATTTTACCAATGTCAAGTGCAATTTCGTTCCTAGCCGCGACGAAGTCTTCATATTGTTTTCGATGATTTTCATCGATATGTCTGCAGTGTGCTAATGAGAGATCTTGTTTCGGTAACTGGGAAGCTAAAGCTCTAGTTCGCCAGGCCCTCCACGCCGCTGGGCCGGTGGCGCCACCGAGGCCGGTCGGTGCGCGCTCTGCTAACGACGACCAGTATAATTCGGTCTGAAAAGGAAAAATCCATTTGTTATTAACGGCCAACACTTTAGCTAAGCGTAATGTATAATGTTTCGTAAGCTAAGAAGCTTTTTTGTCAGGGGAAAATCATTAAAATGACTTCTCCCGCTCAAGGCGAGAAGAAGTGTCAGTCTTACTGACTAAAAACACCCTCGTTCCTTCTCCTGCTCTAGGCTGAGGCCGCGGTGCCTTGCGCTTACCCGGAAATTTCAGCTTCGTAGGCTCAGCTTAAGCTTTTAATTTAATGCTTTTATAGAAATGGAAACAACGATACTTGCTAAGTTTTTTAATAAATTTTATATAGATTAGCACGATAGTTACTACATATACAAAAACATTATAATAAAATACAAAGGTAACTGACCTTTTGCTATAATAAAATGGGAAGAAAATATTAACACATCATTGGTCTATTTTATTTATAGAGTAACATATGACAGGTGACTGTTCAAGTATCTATTTATACTTTGTTTACGTGAACTGGATGTAATTAAGGGTAAAAAAATAGTTTGATTAACAGGTTTTGGTGTAAAGTGTAGACTAGAATGATCAAGGAGCAATGATACACCGCGGCCGGCCTCGCTAGGGGCAGGAACGGGAGGGGGAGATGCTATGCTAGCAGATGCTAGCATGGGGCTATGCTAGCATAATATAATGCATGCTGGCATAATATAAAGTGTCGTGGTAGCCCGGAGGTTAAGGCGCTCGCTTCTCGTGCATGTGCAACCTGGCAAGTACCAATGTGTTTTTCCGAATTATACGTACTTTCTATGACTATTTAAACACAACTGTCTCACGATAAAGAAAAGCATCGTGCGGAAACCTGGACTTATAGTTTCTAATTATTATAAGTTTGAAATCGCAAATCCGCCTTCCGCTTTGAGATTAATGCTCAAATCTTCTCAGTGTGAGAGAGGCCTTTGCTCAGTAGTAAGGACTTATACGCTGATGACGATCATGAGGGTGAGATGCATGCCAGGCTGATGATGAAGGTGCGTCATTCCTCACCTGCTTAGCAGTAAGTCCAGGGGGGCTATCATACGAGTGGTGGTTGATCTTGGACTCCCTCAGGCCAAGCCGGTCGCGAACAGAACCCAACTCCTCGTGGTACACCGAGTGCTTCAGCCGGTCGCAACCACATGACTTGCAAGTTTTTCTGGAAATAAACAATAAGGGAATTTAGTTTGTGTTTTTTAAAAGCAGTATAAGTATATTTAAGAACAAAAAATGTCCTTAGGCGGTGGCATATTCTAGAAGGTAACGGTTTACAAGGGAAATGATCTCCGTTTAGTAAAAGATAAAATACTTATAAGTAAAATAAAAATAAATTAGGTAATGCAAAGCTCATAATAAAACGCACACCCATTTTTCACCATAGAGTCTATTACCGTGGTCGTCATATAGCGGCCCGCGGGCCGCATGCGGCCCGCGGGCGTTATTTCTGCGGCCCAGCAAAGTAAATTGCATTTATAATAGTCAACTATACCTACATGTCATAATCATAAACAAAATCAATATCCGACTTTGTATTCAAATTCGGCGACGATTACTGACGAGTGACGAACTGACGATACGATAGTTCCCACACACACGCGTCGCGTCGCTCATATACCTACCGCGCTGCTTCCCGCACTGGAGTCGAGAGCGACACGAGCCGCGCGCGTTCCATTTCATTCGTTTTAACGCACAAGACTGGACGTTTCTTTCTTTATCGAACGCGCGCGCGGTATTCATTCTTATCTTATTCTTTCGTGTACCAATAATGGCGGGAGTATCATCTAAATGTGCTACTAAAAGGAAGATAACTGACGAAAATAGAAGTTTTCAAGAAAAATGGGAGGAAGAATTTTGTTTTATAAATGGATATAAGGAAGGTACTGCTATTTGTTTAATATGCCGGGAAACTGTCGTTGGAATTAAGCGATACAATTTATTTCGTCACCACACAAGTAAGCATAGTTCATTTACCGAAGCCTACCCTTTAGAAACGATTGAAAGAAAGAATAAAATAATTCATTTGAAATCGTCAATTCATCGTCAACAAAACCTAATGACGACAGCAGTTGGGCAAAATGAAGCTATTACAAAAGCATCATACCAAGTCTGTAACATTCTTGCAAAACGCATGAAACCCTTTACTGATGCTGAATTGATGAAAGAGTGTATGATAACTGTTTCTCAAACGTTATTTCAAAATTTTTCAAATAGTAAACAAATAATGGCACAAGTAAACAAGCTTACACTTTCTGAATCCACCTGTCGCCGCCGTGTTGAAGATATTTCGAAAAATTTGTTTGAGGCAGTAATTGACAAACTGAAAAACTGCAAATACTTCAGTCTTGCTTGCGATTCCAGTACGGATATAACTTCTATGTCTCAATGCTCATTATTTGTTCGGTACTGCACAATGGACGGAATCATAGAAGAAGACTTCTTAGCAGTGATTACCATGAAGGGTCATACGAGAGGTTGTGATTTTATGGAAGTTCTAAAAGAATTTGTAGAAAAACACGGAATACCTGTAAATAAGTTGATATCAGTGTGTACCGATGGTTGTCCGTCAATGGTGGGTGCAAATAATGGTTTGATTGCTTTAATGAAGAAGGAATGGAATTTACCTAATTTATTGCCCATTCATTGCTTGCTGCATCAAGAAACTTTGGCATGTAAAATTTCGAATAACATATTAAAAGAAGTGATGAATACGATTGTAAACATTATAAATTTTATTCGCGCGCGCGAACTTAATCATCGAAAATTCAAGGACCTTCTTGAAGAATTACAAGCTAATTATGGCGATGTTATCTTACATACAGCCGTCAGATGGTTAAGCAAGGGAAAAGTATTAGAACGGTTCTTTCATTTGAAACACGAAATAATACTTTTTTTGCAACAAAGTGGCAAAGAATACCCCCAACTACAACAAAATGACTGGTGGACACTTGCGGCTTTCTTGACCGACATCACTATGAAATTCAATAGTCTTAATTTAGACATGCAAGGATCTAACAAAATAATTGGGCAAATGACAAATAAAGTTTTTGCATTTGAAGACAAACTGCGATTATATATAAACGAACTCGAAGCAGGAGATTTTTCAAATTTTCCAACTGTTGCTGCTCTGCAAGCCGAAGTTTCTATTCCCGACAGTACTATTCATCAAGACTTGATATCCTATTTGAAAGAATATTTGAGAGAAATACAAAATAGATTTGACGATGTGCGAGAGATTAAGAACTGCTTTCTACTTGTGGAAAATCCTTGGCACGTTCAAAACGAAGATATGAAATTATTTTGCAAGTTTGGATTTTCTAAAACACAGTTGATGAATGAAATAATTGAACTAAAGCACGACACGCAGCTAAAAGCTAGTTTTATTGAGCACCGTGAAAAGCAGGAGTACAATGAATTTTGGAAAAATACCCCTAGCAAGTATAAATCTTTGCAAGACTGCGCACAATTCGTTTTAACCATATTTTCTTCAACATATCTCTGTGAAGCTTCATTTTCCAAAATGAGCTTCTTAAAAAATAAATACCGTAATCGTCTTTCCACTCATTTAGAAGACACAATGAGGATCGCATGTAGTCCAAAAGATGCCAATATAGAAGAAATAATTAAAAAAGTTCAACACCATAATTCCTAATTATAATACACAGGTATTTATGATTACGATTAATCATTCCTTATGTTTTTGTTCCTATTGTTTTGTTTCTATGTTTACTTATAAATTACCTTTTTCTAATAAATATAGTAATGAATAAAATATATATATGAGTCTACTTTTTTGATATCAACTCCCACACGAACGTCGTCGCGTCGCGGGTACAGCTAGCGCGAAGTGAATCATGAAATGAGCTGAATACATATGATTGTGTAATACTCGTAGTTATTCCTGGGATAAAAATTATTCTATATCCTTCCCCGGAACTCAAACTATCCCCATACCAAATTTCATGTAAATAGGTCCAGTGGTTTAAGCGTAGAGAGGTAACATACAGACAGACAGAGACACTTTCGTATTTATAATAGTGTGCAAAGGCTCTTGAAGCTCCTTTACATACCCTGCGGCCCAGCCCTGGTACCCACATTGTCATTTGTGGCCCTTGGCTAGTAAAGTGTGACGACCGCTGGTCTATTATCACATACACAGACTACGTTCCAATTTTGAAAATTGAAAATACTTTTTTTCTTTTTCGCCCTACACGAACACGAGACCAGTATGAAGTTTGGCAATCAAACGCACCCATCGACCAACGAAACTAGTGGTTGGTGATGATATTATTCAACCATATCTAAATCAACAATTCACAACAGCATACATATCGCTAAAACCATGCATAAGTTATAAGGTACCATATGATTTGCAGTTCACAAGTCGACATGTTCTAAAAATAAAAATGTTCTTCAAGTACAATCGCGTGACAAAGGAACGTTGCTCATGTTTATCCCTAATAAGACAATCGAGTCGCATCTCAACGTGAGATGATGGCCAATCAGAACCGTCGTATACTTTAACAAGGGTAGCCATTGTTGAATCATAAGTTTTCTATTATTTTTTTCCACTATTTCTCTTACGAGACTGTAATTGCCTACAAATCAACAAAATAATAGTTAAAGTCTAAGACTTAGAACCATTACCCAATTTTTTTGTCAAAACTACCTTTAAACCAACTTTGTAAGTTTAATTTTTTTCTATTTTTTCTTCCAGTCGTCAGGGACGTTGAAAAGTTAGGATTAAATTAATTTCAAATAGGCGCCAATAATCCGCATAAGACGTTTAGTATTTTAATTAGAAGAGATCTTGGTTTTAATTTTATTGTGTCTTTCTTTATTAATTCGTTTACAATATTAAGGACATAATACAATAAAAAAGCTAGAAGAAAATAGACCTAAATAGCAATATTAAGTTAGATAATTTATCCACAAGCTGACTTAAAACATCTGTCTTCATCAACAAACAAGGGTTATCACCTTCATTCGCAATGCAAAAAAAATCGATAAACATTTTCTAAAATTAAAACTGTGACTCATATTCATAGCTAGATAACTACTAGATCCATGTTCGTGAGCCATCGATATGCATGTATTCATTAGGTGCCATTTTATATGGATGCAAAAGCAATGATACTGAGTTTATCCATAAATGGACTCTGATAACATCCAGTTTGCTAAGGTCCTTCTAAATGTGTTACATCTGTTAAATTAGCTTTGTAACCTTTATGTTGTTTTTGAAGTAAGTTTTTGAGCTTAGTATGGAAGTATGTATGTTTCATCTGCCTTCTTAACTTAGGGATGGTTTCGAGTAAAAGGGACTAATTACAAAACATAAGAGCAAAGTTGTCGAAATTCTCATATGCTCTGCGAGAAATCAAAAAAACCACCAACTTTAAAACTGCACTCGTAACCTATTACTCATACGCCCAAGCATGGCTCGCATATGGCATTATTCTATGGGGAAATAGCTCTGAGTCAGCCACAATATTTACCCTACAAAAAAAGCTAATTCGGATAATGACAAACACTGAACAGACAGACAGTTGTAAACCACACTTCATAGAACATAAGATACTCACCTTAACTTGCTTATACATTTTCGAAATATGCAAATTTGTACGAAAACATCCAGACAACTATACTACTCGCCAAGATATCCAAACAAACTTCACCTTAAGATACAAAAATAGATTGAATTTACCTACATCTCGATTAAAAATACACTCAACTGGCCCCCTCACTATGTCAGTAAAAATATACAACAAGTTACCCAAATCCCTAATAAACGAACCTAAAACCAATGTGTTTTTACACAAATTAAGACGACTCCTGGAAACAAAATGTTATTACACAGTAAAAGAATTCTTTGACGATAAACTCACTTAACAAAATAAAACAGTACATGTCGTAACTATATGCATTACATATAAAATCTATCTCTGTCGAAATAAATGTAAAACTTTAATTTTAATTTCAACTAACACAACAATAAATAATTAATAATATAGAATAAACATATAAGTATGAAGTATATACTTATTAAATGATAAATTCACTAAATAAACTATAATAATAATAAAAAAAGAAACAAATGTTAAAAATACATGTATAACTAGCTTTTGCCCGCGACTCCGTTCGCGTGGAATGGTGTCTTCCTGCAGACATTTACTTT